TATATAATAATAGTTTTTTGTATTATATTAAATATAATAATAAATATATATTATATTATAATTATTTATATTATATTATAGTATAATATAATATAGTTGTAATTTTTAACTATCCACAGCAATTTAACCTTATAATTTATCAAACACTATTATATTGATTTTAGAACCAGCACATCTACTATAATTATAGTTTACCAAACACTTAGCTATTTTTTGTAACAGTTACTTCTTCCTCAGCACAAGTATTTTTTTTAAAATCTATAGCGCTACCAAACTAAGCCTATATATACAAATACGAGTCCCTTTTGATCCTATATTCACAATACTTTTTTGTCAACTTATTTTGTCATTTTGTGCCGTCGCTTTTTTCTCTTCCTTTTATTTTTCAATACCTCTCCCTTAAATCTTATGTTAAATGTATTTTATTAATAAAATGCTTTCTTCTAATTGGTTTCCATTGAATTATTTCTTTTCAAATATGTCCTCAATTAAATACTTCTTTTAGAACCTTCAAAAATATTATGTTGTCAAATGTTGACTTTATAAATGTAGCTTTTTTTTAGTTGCTTCACTAATATAATTTTTCTTAAATGTGTCCCTATTAGATATCTTTTTTTCCCTTTCATATTTCTAATAGTGTATTCTATTTTCTTTGTCTAATTAATTAGTTTTCTATTTGATTTGTCCCAACCAATTAAAATCCTCTTTTTCTTAATTATGCATACATGCACAAGTTTCTATTGAAATATACGTTTTGATTAAAACTTACATTTGTTGGTATAATTATTGCATTTCAAAATCTTATATTTTTAAACTTGCTCCATTAAAATAATTCTTTTTTTTTCTGTACTATATATATAAGTTTCCATCTTCATTTACTGTTCCCCACTTTCAAACAAAACGTGCATTTTAATCCAGTTTTTGTTTTGTTTCATTTTATTTCAATCATATTTTAAAATAAAACGAATTACAATATTTTTTCTCTGATTTATTCCAATTAAAATAATATATTTTTTTCCAAATGTTCCCTTTAAATATATATTTTTCTCTTTGTTCCCTTTTAATAGTATTTTTTTTCAAATGTTCCCTCTAAATATTTTTTTTCCTCTGTGCTCCCTATTATATTAGAAGTTATTTTTATAAAAAAATTTCTGCTAATTACCCCACTAACATAGTGTTTTTAATTTGTTCTTAATAATTATATTACAAAACCCTCTCAATCACCATTATCGATTCAATCTCAAGGGGGACATGAGAGTGTCAATCTCATTCTTCAATACTAAATTTGAGTGGGGTCCACCAATCTCACTCTCATTTCAGGATAAAAAAGAATAAATAAACATAAAATTGATTCTCATTCTTCAATCCTAATAAGTAAATATGTCATAAGCGTATTTTCTCCAAAACCATTGGTGGCAATATCTCGGCTTGAATAGATTCCAAAGTCTCTCTAACACAATTGACTCGTTGAAAAAATATTACCACGAACGTCTTTATTTTTCCAAGTCTTGAGCCGACTCTTGATGAAATTTCAACGTTTGAATAGCTTTGATCATTTCAAACTACCATGAAATATTGTAGGGGCGGAGGACCAACACTTAGCAACAACTCTCCAAATCATGAAGATTTTATTTTTATTTATTTATTTTGGTTGAAACAAAAAGGGCAATGATCTGAATTCCATGACACGATAAAGTATAGAAAGAAATAGTACTCCAAAATCTAGCCAACCATTATTACAGAGGGCTTCTTCTCTACATAACGAACATCATCAACAAGCTTGTTTGATAAAGGGGTTTAAATCCCGACACTAGACCACTCATTATAAGCTTGTTTGATAGAGGGGTTCAAATCCCGGTTCAAACAGTTCTGTTACAGTAGTTTTTTTATAAAAATTTTAATTTTGCTTCAAACCATTTTATTTGAACACTTCTATTTATTCTTATAAAATTAAACTCCGTTACTTATATGAGGTGAACCCTATTTAAAAATAAATGGGCTCGTGATTGGGATTTATTCCCATAAAAATGAATGTCATTTTTCTTCCATAACTTGCATCTGGTCTAGGCTCCCGGTTGAGCAGAGGAGACGGCTAGGATAATGAACTTGAGACGCAGATAATTTGAGAAAAGAAAGTCAATCCCTCCAACAATATTATCAACCAATTATTTTTCCTTCCCCTTGAAAGCAAAAAGGTCCTCCCAATCCCACAGAATCATGCATTGCCGTATGTAAGAAGAAAAACTAAAATGGAATGAAAACGAAATACAAAATAGAGAAATGCATACTCAATATATAGTACTACTATTTTTTTCGGAATTTCAACGAGCAAAACCAACAGAAACACAAAAAAGAGGGCAACCGGCCACAAATAAAACCCCCAATAAAACTATGAAATATTAATTAAAGGAAGTCTCCCAACACAATTTTTAAAGTAAAAGCCGCATAATTTCTCAGACCATGATCTTCTTCCTAATCGCCGTATAATTTTTAACACATAAATTTTATTAATATAATATATTATTATTTAAATAATAAATGAGATAATAAAATTTACGTATCAAATTATAAACTTATTACATAGAGTGAAATAGGGTGCTAAAAAGATTCTAAAATTTTACCCGACGAGTAAAAGGGACTTTAGTCTACCAATAGGGTGAAAAAACGCGACTTAAAGAATTTTTTTTTAGTAATATAACATATAAATTAAATTTTTTAAAAAGACATTTAATTAAAAGATTCAAATTATAATTTAAATTATAATTTATAATTCATTATAATATTTTTTTTCATAAAAAATATATATAAATTAAAAATAATTTTAATCAACTAATTTTAATTTATAAACCAAACCACCGTAAACGTTAAAAAAATTTAACCAAGTAGAACGGTAAATCGCTCTTTACGTCGGGAAGACAAAAAGGCGATTCTTGAAAAAAGAGCAAAACTTTCCCTTTGTTTTGCTTATACCCGAAGGACGGAGAGCAAAAGCGCAAGCATTGGTGGAACCAGAAGAGTGACTGAGAGTACTGAGAAAAATGGGGGTTTGGGATTACATCTCCGGCACGGCGGATTCAATCAAACGGAACGCACCCGATCTAACGCCCGTCAAGGCCTTGTGCTGTAACTCGTACGGCTACAGCAAAGCCGGCGTCAGCAACATCCACAACGCCGTTAAAGTTAACGGCGGCAAGGTTCTGAGCCAGTACGGGCCTAGCGGGGAAACAATGTCCAAGATCCCCCCATTCGTTACTAATCTCGCCGTGTACTCTGCCGAGGAGGCTCTCAAGTTCATCCCGGTCCCACTCCCAGGTTTCAAAAGATTAAGATGTTTTTCTGTCTTTTTAATAAGTGATATTATTATTTTGCATTCTCTAAACTGGAAAAAGGATATCGATGATTAGTTTTTGTGGGTAAACCAGAAATGGGTTCTTTTTGTTTTTTGTTATTTATTTATTTACAGACCCTTGTGCTTCTAAACGTGTAATGTTTTTTTTTTTTTTTTTTTTTTTTTTTTTTTTTTTTTTTTTTTTTTTAATTTTAATTTATAAGTTGATATTATAATAAGGGAAGTGGATGTTGGATACTCATAAAAATTTAAAAAAAAAAACAATTTGAGTTATAATTTTATTTAAATTTAAATTTTTTTAAGTTTAAATTTGAGTTTAAAATTAAAATTTGAGTTTATTTCTTCTTTAATTGAGTTCAGAAATTCAAACTTAAATTAATAAATAATATTTTTTTATTCTTAAAAATACTATAATTTTTTTGTTTTAATTATAATTGAGATAATTTTTTTTATATGTTAATAACAAAAAGACGAATAAAATTTTATTCATATATCTTATTGAAATTTTTCATTATCGTTAAATTTTTATTAAAATATTATATACATATAAATTTTAATTTTAATTTATTTAAATATAAATTTAAAAAAATTTTATTTTAAATAATAACTTAAATATGCATAATCAAATATAAACTTAAGATATAATTTCAACTCAGGTTATAATTCAAATTTAATTCAAAATCTTCATTCAAAATACGTAACTGATGTGGGTCTTTGTAAATTTAGGATGTGGGTTCTAGAGGGCCCGTTTGTTTGCGTTTTCGTTTTCATTTTTCACGGTTTTCAAAGCAAAAAAATGAAAACGGGTGTTAAAAACGTGTTTGGTGCAATTTTTTTTAAAAAACAAAACCAAAAACGTTTTTGTCTTTTTGTGGAAATCAGAAAACGAAAAAAAGGTGTTTTCATTTTCTTGTTTTCGTTTTCTGTTTTCTGAAAAACGGATTTCACTTTTTTTTTTCTTTTTCATTTTCTTCCCTCTTTTCTGAAACCGTTTTTGTATTATATATGTTTAATTAATATATTTATTTAATATATTATTATTTAATATATTTAATAATATTATTTATATAATATATTTAATAATATTATTTATTTAATATATTATTACATATTTTCAAAAATTAAACCACCAAACGCAGTTTCAGTTTTTTTTAAAACTGAAATCAATCTCTAAATAAAACTACCAAACGCATTTTTAGAAATAATTCAAAAATGAAACTAAAAACGTTTTCATTTTCATTTTCGTACAGAAAATAAAAACGTTTTGAAACCAATTTCAAACGCACCCAGAGTTTCACCATTCTTCTCTCTCTCCCTTTCTTCCCGTTTGTCCTTGAATCGCTCTTTTCTAGGTGTTTTTGTTATATGAAAGTTCTTAAATTGGGGTTTTTGATTATGGGCCACAATTACTTTTATTATTTTCTTCACTTTCAATTATAATCTTGTACTGGGTATCTCCTATTTATATCATAGTTCTCCTTTTGTTTTCATCTCAACCTGTTTGGATTATTCTTTGATGGGCTAAGAAGAGCAAAACCTGTTTATGGGTTTTGTCAGCTTACGGCGTTCTCCAAATTGATCATTTCATAAATGTGATTGTTGTGTTGCCCAATCACTTTGGCTTTAAGCACTGGCCACTGCGGCACTAGACAGAACAGTGATACCAAGTAAAGGAAGAGTTTGAGAGGATTGCGGATCTCACGCCGGTGAGGGGTAAAGGGCGGAGGGCGTCGCGCCGCCGTGGAAAGTGGGCTACCTTCCGCCATGGGGGAAGGGGAAGGCGAAGGCGAAGGAAGGGTGGGTTTGGGTGCTCTCTCTCTACGTAACCTTGTTCTTCCTAAGTGGATCGATTTTGTTTCAGACTGAAGGAATTTTGATCAGATTGAGTTCAGATAGATCAAGTTGGCCTTTGGGTTTTAGATTGACGTGTGGAGTTTATCCTTTTTTTTTTTTAGATGGAGTCTCTTCAACAACAACAATAACAACAAATACAAGTCTTAATCCCAAATTAATTAGGATCAGTTATATGAATTTCTCATTTCAAGTTTGTTCTATTAAACACGAGACCCTCTTGAAGTTCTAGATCTTAAAAATCATACCTAATTACGTCAGCCTAAGTAATTCTTAATCTACCTCTCGCTCTCCTAGTACTAGGTATTTAGATGTTCTTCCAAACACGAATAGGTACGTCTAACGATTTACGTTGTATATGCTCGTACAAACCTCAGATGGTTTTTTCGCACCTTATCTTCTATTGGTGCTACATCTATTTTACTACGAATAACTTCATTCCGTATGCGATTCATCCTCGTATGACTACTAATTCATCTTAATATACGCATCTTTGCCACACTCATCTTGTATATTTATTGTCTCTTAATGGGCCAACATTCACTACTATATAACATAGCTGTGCAAATTGCTGTTCTATAGAATTTTCATTTCAACTTAATAGACATCTTATTATCACATAAAACTCTCGTGACATTCTTCCACTTAACTCACTCCGTCTTAATCCTATGTTCAATATCCTCATATATATCCCCTTTACACTGCACTATAGACCCAAAGTACCTAAATTTTCTAGAAGCCCCAATCACCACACCATTCAAAGAAATTCCATCATTCTGATCTCTCAAATTACTAAACCTATAATACATGTACTCAGTATTCGTTCTACTTAACTTAAATCTCTTCGTCTCAAGGGTCTGTCTCCATAGTTCTAACTTACAATTAATTCCCTCTCGATGTTCATCAACTAAAACTATATTGTCTGTAAAAAGCATACACTAAGAAATCCTATCTTGATGAGCCCTTCAACACTGAGATTATATTTTCTTTAATGAGCTCAATCTCTAACAGCCCTTGAATCTTAATCCAACGGTCTTTATCATGCACCCTGCGATGAGGGGGAAGTACTACCTCCTACCATAGACTTTCCATAAATAAATTTTATAAAAAAATATGGTTTTAAAAGATTTTCATTAAATTTTACTAGATATTAGAGTATAATCTGAAAGTGTACCATAGTCTTGTATGTCAATAGAGTAGTATTATTTCTGATGGTTAGAAGTATATTTTTGTTATGAATAATAGCTGTACACTCCAATTAAAGTTGTTATACAAGTCAGTCAAAATTACTGTTAATGTCAGAATTTTACTGTGCAAATAGTAACCGTAAATAACAAGTACTGTGTAAATAGTAACTGTGAATAATGTCAAAATTTTCTTATAAATAGAACTCTAAGGCTCTTTATTTTGTATACCTTCATAAGATTAATGAAACACTCTATCTAGTTTCTATCTCTAAAGTTTGTCTTCTTAGTTTTGTATTTTTTTAGTTTTTATAACAATTTTATAAAAAAATTAGTTTTCATTACATTACTGTTCTAATATTAATATGCATTTTTCCATACAAAGAATTAATATGCATTTCCAAAATAATAATAATAATAAAATAATAATAATAATAATAATAATAATAATAATAATAATTTTCATTAAATTGCTATACTAACGGCAATATATGAAATTTTTTCATACTCACTAAACAAATTCTAAAAGAAAAACATTGGGAATCGTGAACTTGTTAAATAGATTAGTTTTTTTTTGTTTTGGGTAATTTTCAGGTGGAGCTTCGGGCTTTTCGATCTGTAAAGCTATTAAGCGATCATGGCCGAGTGATGCGAACAAGTCGAAAGGTGGTGGGGTGGATGTGAAAGCGTTGCAGGCAGAAGTAAAGAGGTTGAACAAAGAACTTGGCGAGTGCAAGAATTGGATTGAGCAAATGGAGATGAACAAGAAATATTGCTCGGATTTCGAGTCCGCAAAAACACCAAACTCGGATTCAAACTCGGTTGTTAATCGAAAGCCGGAGGATGTGATTAGAGTCTTTATGATGAAGGAGTTCATAGGCAGGCAATTGCTCGATGATATGATTGTTCATGGCACTTCTCCTACAAACAAGTGATTAACAGGGAGTTTACTTTAGTTCAAGCCAAGAAGTGTAAGGCAGTATTTACTCTTATGGTTGTAGTAAGTCCTAAATCCAGGATATTCTGGTTTTCTTTTACCAATGGCTCTGTATTATAGTATTCAGGGCAGTATAAAATCAAGATCAAGACTTCAGAGACTGGTTTTTTCCTATTATTTATATAAGTATATCACGAAATGGAGTTTAGAAAATTACCCAAGAATTTAAATGTTCACTAGAATTCCCAGCAGAAGCAATCCAGAATTTCCTGTGTAACGGTAAATGAACAATTATTACAGCGAACTAATAAGGTATGCTTTCTTGTTAGGAGATTTTTCTGGTTATCAGTAAGTGGGCACTTTCTAAAAGTTTGTTTGGTACGCGGGTTTGAACTGTTACTATGTAAACCTTTTAGATTTAAATTGTAAAATATGAGCGTATAATTTAAACTATGTAATTTTTAATTGAGCTCAGAGTGTCAAATACATAAGGAACATAAAACATCATCATTACATAAAACTTCATCATAATGTTAATAATGGTTTTCAATAATGCCCATTCTGTCGACATGTTTCATTAAATGTCTTTGGTGGCAACTCTTTTGTCAACGGATCCACAATCATGAGATTAGTGTTAATATGTTCGATTGACATTTTTTGTTTCTGAACTTCTTTAACGACAAAATATTTCAATTCCATGTGTTTAGCACCTTTTGAATACTACTTGTTTTTTGAGACGCAGACAGTTGCGGAGTTATAACAATAAATCTTTAGCGACTTGGCAATACTGTTGACAACTCTTTAAGTCTTGAAACAAATTTCCGCAGCCATAAACCATGAACAGTGGCCTCAAAGCACACCACAAACTCAGCCTCCATAGTGGACGTTGCAATGATAGACTGCTTCCCACTCTTCCATGAGATCGCTCCCCCAGACAAAAGGAACAAATAGCCAAATGTGGATTTTCTTGTATCAACACATCCAATGAAATTTGAATATGAATATCCTATCACCTCGAGATGATTGGATCTCTTATAACTGAGCGTGTGATATTTCGTTCCTGGCAAGTATCTCAATACTTTCTTTGCAGCTTTCCAATGATCCACTCGTGGATTACTTTAATACCTACCTAGCTTTCCAACAACAAAACTGATGTCTGGCCTGGTACAAGTCTGAGCATACATCAAGCTTCTAACAATAGATACATAAGGAATTTGTTCCATTTGTCTGCGTTCCAATTCATTCTTCAGGCATTACATAAGGTTGAATTTATCTCCTCTTTGAATTGAAACCTGAATCTCTCAAGAACTTTATTAATGTAAGCTTTCTGAGACAATCGTGATCTGACACGGAATATTTTAAATCCAATCACATAGGATGCCTCACTCATATCTCTCATTTCAAAGTTCTTAGAGAGAAATTTCTTGGTCTCATGTAACAAGCAAAGATCATTAGTAGCTAGCAAGATATCATCAACATACATAATCAAAAATATAATATATCTTGCTCCCATTGACCTTCAGATGTATGAACTGATCAACGGTGTTTTCTTTAAATCCAAAAGAAGTGATGGTATCATTGAACTTAAGATACCATTATCGGAAGCTTACTTAAGTACTTATTTTGATTTCTTAAGTTTACACACTATGTGCTCCTTTTTTTCAACTACAAAGCCCTCAGGTTGGTCCATATAAACTTCTTCCTCTAAATTGCCATTAGAAATGCAGTTTTCATATACATTTAATGTAACTCTATGTCAGAATGAGCCACCAATGTGATAATAATTCTAAAAGAGTCCTTTTTAAAAACATGTGAAAAAGTCTCTTTGTAGTCAATGTCATCCTTCTGAGTAAAATCTTTGGCAACAAGTCTGGCCTTATATTGTTCAATACCGCCATTAGAGTTGCGTTTGGTCTTAAAGACCCACTTACAATATCGCCATTAGAGTCGCGTTTGGTCTTATAGATCTACTTACACCAGACTCTCTTACAACCTAATGATAATTCAGTAAGATCCCAGACTTCATTGTGACCCATTGATTTCAACTCCTCCTTCATGGCGTCTAACCATTTAGTAGAATTAGCACTTTCCATGACTTGTGAAAACGAAACTAAATCTTCATTAATTCCTACGTCAAATTCTGACTATTGTAGATAAACCACATAATCATTCACACTCTACGATATCATGCATATATTTCATTACATAAAATCCGCACTCAGTATTCCCAGGTTGTTCTGAGCTTGTATAACTATCCATTTTGTAGACACACGGCGACAAAATTTCGCTTCTTTCTTTAATAACTTGAAATTGGCAAGTGCCCTGCATATACTACACATAAGTTGAAATATATTGAAGTTAATTTGGGTTAAAATAATTGGGCTTAGAAACTTACAGCTGCACCACATTTTTAATGTCGATCCTAATGTCATGTCGAATGGGGTCCATCCAATATAATTCATCCCTCCAAGGATCAATGGCAACCAACATACAATTGTTAGTTTACCAATCAATCCCCAAAACTTAAACTGTTAAGAGGTGAACCAACAATAATTTTATACTTTAACACTTCCCCTCACGTGTGGGCTGGACAATGAGCAATCGTGTGGGTAAATTAATTAGAAAGCCCAATACGTGAATATTTAAACCCGATATATATTAAAGACTCAACACATGACAATTTTAAATGGGGATAAAGAGTGCAATTATGGGAGTTTAAACTCAGGACCTCCTGCTCTGATACCATGTTAGCTTACCAATCTATCCCAAAAACTTAAACTGTTAGGAGGTGGACCAACAATAGTTTTATACTTTAACAATAATTTCACTATGCCCATGAAAAATAAGATTCAGTTAATAGTTTGTTTAGCAAAAATTCAACAAAAGTGTGACAAAGTCCTCACCCTCCATTACAGGGTAGAAGATAAAGTTTGCCTTTTGGAGCATTCACTACAAGAAAAAGGGGTTTTTGCGACTACAAAAAGTCATCGCAAAAACCCCAGTGTCATCGCAAATAATAGTTTTCGCGACGACATGTCGTCGCAGATATGTCATCGCAAAAATTAGTTCAAATGGATACATCCATCTTAAGTGAACTGGTCCTCCTCGAATGGCTTCTTCAGGCAAGTGTATAACTAAATGTACCATTATGTCAAAAAAGGCAGGAGGAAAAATTGTTTCTAACTTGCATAAAATAAGCACAATATCTTGTTGAGCTTTCCCTAAATTACTTTTCCGCAATGTCTTTGAGCATATTAACTCGAAAAAATTACTTAATTCTGTTATTGCATCAACGATCTCTTTCTTCATGAATGGTCGTATCCCTGTTGGCAATAATCGCTGCATTATGATGTGACAGTCATGTGATTTTAGCTCAGTTATTTTATTCTTCCCTTCGATCACATTTTTCTTTAAATTTGAAGCAAATCCATCAGGAAACCTTATTGATTTTAAAAAATCACAAAACTTTTTACTGTCGTCGGGAGATAGTGTATAAGACGCATGTGGTTTCATCCAACGATCACCGTCTTTGTACAAATGCAACTCCTTGCGCACCCCCATATTTTGCAGATCGATTCTCGCCTTATCCGTATCCTTACTTTTTCCGTCAATGTCTAGAATTGTGCCTAATAAGTTGTCGCATACATTCTTCTCAATATGCATGACATCTAAGTTGTGACATAACGATAATGACTTCCAATAAGGCAACTCCCAAAAGATACTCTTCTTTGTCTAATTAAGCTCGCTTGCATGTCTTTTCCGCTTCTTACCACCATACTTTTCATGTTTACCAGGCAATCTGAAGGACACATTTTGTAGTTGAGCTAAGATTTGGTGAACAGATTTTCGAGCCGGAGGAGGTCGTTTCTCAACCATACCATCAAACTTTTTATTTTTTCGCATCCCATGTTTAATAGGAAGCCATCGCCGATGGCCAACAAAACAA